GAAGGTCTTTCCATAGAAGACCAGAAAATCTTCTTGAAGGAGACCAGAAAGTCTTCTAGAAAAAGACGAAATGGACTTCTTTTCAAAGATCAGAAGGTTTTCTTATCAAAGACCAGAAGGTTTTTTAATCGGAGATCAGAGAACCTACCTTCAGAAGTCCAGAAGATATTATTTTAGGATAGCAGCAAGTCTTCATTTGGAAGGTCTAAAGGGACCAAAGGATTTTCCTATAGAAGACCAAAAAGTTGTAGGATACCAGATCTGCTTATTGAATTCTGGATGTTATGCCTGTTGAAATCCAGAATATTTTCTTTAGAGGACTAGAAGAAGAAGAAAAAATCTTCTGAGAAAAGTCCACAAGGAGAATAATAGTAGACATTCTAATTCAGATTTTCATGTGAGGTCCTCATACAAAAGACTAGGAAATCTTGTCATAGAAAGCGAAAAGGGTGTACTCTGTTTGTTTTCTTCTGTTATAACAGGCTATTACAAGGCCTTGTTATACAGACACCTTTGCTGTCAGCCGTCTATATAAACGCCCTGTAATTCGGCCTTTAGTTCATTTATGTAGGCTCGCTGGTTTTTAGATTGTCTGTATAGGCTCGCTTTTTTTCAATACTTCCTGACCTGTATAAACAGGTGGTCTTCAGTTCGTCCACTTTTCTTCCTGAAATTGAGATACTATATATTTTGCTAAAGTGTGGATTTCGGAAAATAGTGCTTATGTGTATGAAGAGTAATTAATGGTAATAAACTTGATATTAAATGTAGGAATGGAGGTGGAATTCAGAACTATAGTACAACTAATTATACGGTATTCACCATTTCCATATGAAATATTTTTTTATTCCCTTTCCGCATACGAAGTAGCGGGTACTTTGCTAGTAAAGTATATATATTCTTGATCAGCGTAAAATTCTTAGACGATCTAAGCATGTCCGTCCGTCTGTTGTAATCACTCTAGCGTCTAAACAAGTTGAGATAGATCGGCAAAAATTTGCACAGAGTCGTCTTTTGTCTGCAGGCAGGTCAAGTTCGAAGATGGGACATATCAGTCCACGTTTAGGCATAGCTCCCATATAAGTACCCCAAAATTTTCGGTATTTTGGGGTTTTTGAGCGCGTTTTTCAACCGAATTCGCTGAAATTTGGTATATTGAGTTGCTATTGGGTACCCAATTTCTCCACAAAAAATATACATATAGGTCCATTTTTTCTGGTAGCCCCCATATAACGGTACCCTCTAATTTTCAGTATTTTGGGGGGTTTTGATCGTAGTTTTCAACCGAATTGGCTGTAATTTAGTACTTTGAGTTCTTATTGGGTGCCAAATATCTCCATTAAAAATTATAGATATAGGTCAATTTTTTCTGAAAACCCCCATATAAGGGTACCCCCCAAATGTCGGTATTTTGGGGTTCTTGAGCGCGTTTTTCAACCGATTTCGCTGAAATTTTGTACATTTGGTTCTTATTGGGTGCCAAATATCTCTACCAAAAATTATAAATATAGGTCCAATTTTTCTGGTAGCCCCCATATAAGGGTACCCCCAAATTTCTCTATTTTGAGGTTCTTGAGCACGTGTTTCAACCGAATTCGCTGAAATTTGGTATTTTGTAGTCGAATATGGTAACAAATTTCCTTACAAAAAAATTTTAATATGCACCCCCTTTTTGGGGTAGTCACCATATAACCCCTTTTTATACCCTCCACCATAGTATGGAGGGTATATTAATTTTGTTTTTCCGTTTGTAACTCATCGAAATAATCATTTCCGACCCTATAAAGTATATATATTCTTGATCAGCGTAAAATGCTAAGACGATCTAAGCGTGTCCGTCTGTCCGTCTGTTGTAATCACTCTAGCGTCTAAACAAGTTGAGATAGATCGGCAAAATTTTGCACAGAGTCGTCTTTTGTCTGCAGGCAGGTCAAGTTCGAAGATGGGACATATCGGTCCACGTTTAGGCATAGCCCCCATATAACGGTACCCTCTAATTTTCAGTATTTTGGGGGGTTTTGATCGTAGTTTTCAACCGAATTGGCTGTAATTTAGTACTTTGAGTTCTTATTGGGTACCAAATCTCTCCACTAAAAATTATAAATATAAGTCCATTTTTTCTGGTAGTCCCCATATAAGGGTACCCCCCAAATGTCGGTATTTTGGGGTTCTTGAGCGCGTTTTTCAACCGATTTCGCTGAAATTTGGTGCATTTGGTTCTTATTGGGTGCCAAATATCTCCATTAAAAATTATAGATATAGGTCCATTTTTTCTGGTAGCCCCCATATAAGGGTACCCCCAAATGTCGGTATTTTGGGGTTCTTGAGCGCGTTTTTCAACCGATTTCGCTGAAATTTGGTACATTTGGTTCTTATTGGGTGCCAAATATCTCTACCAAAAATTATAAATATAGGACCAATTTTTCTGGTAGCCCCCATATAAGGGTACCCCCAAATTTCTCTATTTTGAGGTTCTTGAGCACGTGTTTCAACCGAATTCGCTGAAATTTGGTATTTTGTAGTCGAATATGGTAACAAATTTCCCTACAAAAAATTTTTAATATGCACCCCCTTTTTGGGGTAGTCACCATATAACCCCTTTTTTATATTAAAATAGTTATGCAATTTGTTCCGCGTTTTGGGTTGGGTTCTAAAACTCTGTTGTAATCATATTACCAGCGGAGGATATCGAGATAAAAAACTAGAACATAAGGATCGATAATGAACTATATATGAACTATAACCCGTATTTAGACCTAGCCCCTGTGTGGGAGGTAATAGAAGGAGTGGATCGATATTCCCCATCTTCGAATTAGATTAAGTTTGGAAGAAATAATAAGATGAGCAAAGTTTGGATGAAATCTAAATTTTTTGAAACAGATTTGGTCCAAAGAAACATGGGGTGTAGAACCAATATTTCGATGAGGCACATTTTCACGGTGTTAAAGCGTATACACCCAAATTAGCAGTAAGGCTGAGGCTATAATTATCCATTAAAAATTTCTGAAATTTGTATTATAGTTTACATAGAAATGTCGGTATAAGTCCACTTTTTGGTATGTTCCCTATATTTTCATTTCTAGTACCTGTAAGTATATCTATGGTGGAGGGTATCCAAAGTTCGGCCCGGCCGAACTTAACGCTTATTCACTTGTTTATATTAAAATAGTTATCTGATTTGTTCCGTGTGTTGCGGTTGGGTAGTCGTTACGGGGAATAGTCAATGTTTACCCTACAAAGACTATTTAGCCATAAGCATTCCGCCTTCTAAAGATATTGTGATAAAAAAACTCAAACATGATGATAATGAAATATATCGGCAGACATTTAGGCATATCCTCAATATAGTGATACCTCCTGAAGGAAAGAATTGAGATAAACAATTAAAATATTTGGTTCAAAATTGGCATATACCGGTCATTAATTAGGCATACCATCATATGATGATATCCCCAAATATTCACTATTTCCTACACTATGTAATCAATATTGGTCCCTCTTTAGGCATAGCCTCATATAACTTTGTAATCTAAATTACAGTAGTTTGAGGATTTTATACTCTACAATGCGTTATCAATATCAGTCCACTTTTTGGATCTTACAGATTTTAGGAAAAATCCCCATTAAAAATTGCCGAAGTTTGTATTTAATGTACATAATGGTTTACATAAATCGGTTTGTATTATCGGTATATGCCCACTTTTTGGTATGTTCCCTATATTTTCATTGCATGTATCTGTCAGTATAACTATGGTGGAGGGTATCCAAAGTTCGGCCCGGCCGAACTTAACGCTTTTTCACTTGTTAAATATTATGGGTGAACTCGCGGCACATATCAATTAACTATTTCAACGGATGATGAAAGTATCTACCACAGGTGACGCCATGGGGAGGTAAGTGTCCACAATTGAAATGAAAGAGCGACCAAAATAAGCCTGGGCTTTGCCATGTTAAAGCCGTTGCTTGGCATCTACCATTCCCTACGTCACCCACTATTTTACTACTCCACTATTTGCGCTCATTTTCCCTCCCTCCCTCTCTCGCTCTCTCTCTCTCTCTCTTACAAAAACAAATGTGTTTCTCCCAAGAATGAAAACACAACTACCACAACCACCATTCATTGATCAGTTGTGCTTTGTTTTGGTATTGTTCTCTGTCTCTCCCTTTACTTGGTGATTGTTATTTTTGCAACCGTTTATATGACCATTGTTTCTACCGACAAAATTCCCATATGTATATTTCAAATTATTTCGATATAAATGCTTACTGCAATGTACCAAAAAATTGTTGATGCGAACAACAAGCCCACCCAAATGTTCAACATTTCATATGGTAGTTCTAATTACGCAGAACGTGAACATGATGTAACTAAATAAGAATAACGAGACAATTCATAACAAAGAAGAAGAAAACATAAAATGAAAATGAAAAAATAGAAAAAAACAGAAAAACGAAAAGAAGTTTCGGTGCCATGATACCCACCACCAGACACTCCCACACTCCAAAGTTATTTTTCACTCTCTCTGACATGAAACCAGTATTTAAAGTTTTATGAATTGCATTCATAAAATGCAGAAATTCCGACATTGGCAATATTTTATGAACATTTTTTTCAGTGTATTGTAAGTTGGTTGAGCCGACTTTTATAATTTCTTTTATTTTTAAACCACTGTAAAATTCGGACTACTAAAATTAGGACTCATGCATTGCCTACCTGCCAGTTATCTACTGTCATATCTCAACTAGCTCTACTAACTAACAATCGATCGCTACGAATTGGATATAGGTTATGAAATTTTAATGAAACACATTAATAATAAATTATCGAAGAAAGAAAATCTACAAAAATTGTCACAGCAACAAATGTTGCAAACGACAGTTCCATACAGTTGCCGTTAATACATTCGTGTAGTAGTTTCACACTGAACGCTAATAAAAATCGAAGAACGAACTTAAAAATTGCAATATGCAAAAATTTTTGCTTTTATTTCATTTTGCAGTTTTGTACTGCTCTGACCCTGCCGATATACATGGAGTTAAACATAATTATAGCCGTTCATTAATATTGGGAAATATTGAAGATTCTCAGGCGTCATTAATGCATTATGGCCAGGTGGCCTTGTACATGGTCACCCAATATATAAGTCCACGTACCAATACGCTGATAATAATGGAGAATTGTCTATCCCATTGCGATAAACATCGTCTGTATCATTCTACGGTTTTGAAATTTTTCCTCAATAATCTCAACTATTCGATGGCAACACAATTGTTTCTTGGCCAACCCGATGAACGGCCATGGGATTATAATATGTTCGTGGTGCCGACATGGCGTGAATTTGAGTTGAGTGTATGAATAAAAAATAAAACAAAACTAAAAAATTTCAGGAAAAGGAATATAACTTTTGAAAATTTGAATACATTTATATTATATACTTTAAAATCCAGAAGTATGACACTGTCAGCCTTAAAATTTTTTTTAATAAAAGCTTACAGCTCTGCTGACTCTTGACAAAATTTAAACATTCTTATTAATGAAATGTCTTCACTTCTTCATCTTTCAGAACCCTGCAGCTGAACATCCCGAAAACGATTTATGATCGCCAATACTACTTCTTCATTGTTTTCACCTGGTTTATGCCATATCGTGATTTGTATTTTGAAAATATGAGAAAAATATTCGAAATCTGCCGTAGTATGAATGTAAAAAATGTCGTCATTATGATGCAACCGATTGCCGAACAATTTATCAGCTTCTATACCTATACCCTCTACACGGGAGAGTTTTGTAATACCGTATTGACCATCAAAGAAATTAATCGTTATGAAAATGGTAAATTTCAAAATACATTTCTATTTCCGGATCATATGAGAAATTTTCATGGCTGTAAGCTGACAGTGTGTGGTCATGTTGTTGAACCACTACTGCAGTTCAATGGTGATGTGAATAATCGGAAACATTTGAAGGATATGAGTCGTCTAAGTGGTATAGAGGGTGAAATTTTGAAATTGGTCGCCTCGACAATGAATATGAAATTGGAATATCGTTTTACATCGAACGACTATCGGGTGACATCGAATGATTATAGTGTGCGTTGGGATAGTAATTTTACGGGATGCCTGGCGGATGTAAGTATATTTTTATAAATAAGGATATTAGATGAAAGACATTTCATTGGCCTTCTTCAACTAGAACGCCTTTCTGACGATAGATATATAACTTTTCAGATGTAATCTCCTAGTTCATATACAGATTTTATATACGAAAGTCTATGTACAGCATAGCTTTTATGGAATTCTGATAAACAAGAGATCTTTCAGAAGCGCTCTGTTGATGAAATAACGTACAGAATCTTCTGTTGATGGAAGATCTTCCAGAGGTCGTACTTTTTTCGATCGGATCCACCCTGATCATATCCACCCCAACTGATCTTGCAGACTCAGACCGGACTATGGAGGGTTAGTATTTGATGGTGATGAATGAACGGCTACATATGATAGACACAATATTTTCCCTCTTGAAGGCAGGACTCAAAATACCACAAAAGGCTTTCTAGAGATAGAATAAATTTCAGAAAGAAAACCTTTCACTTGGAAAGGTCTTATATAGACAAAAGACCTTTCGGAGGCCTTCTTCAAACTGAAGCCATTTTAAGGAATTTCTATAGATGACCTTCTGTAGATGGGTCTTTCAGACTTCTGTCGACAGAAAACTTTTCGGAGGTTTTCTACAGACAAAAGCCATTTTCGAAGTGTTATATAGATAGAAGATTCTTTGAACACTTCTACTCTCCGATCTTGTTGAAAAAAATACAGAAGGCAGGAGATCTCACTTTATAGGTAAAGGACCTTCAGAAGCAGAAGAATCTCCTTCCACAGAAAGGAAAACCCTTTGAGGACCCATAAACAGTAGGTCATTTATTAGACAATTCTTTTTATAAAAAGAAGGACATTTAGAGGTCTTCAATATGGAGAGGGCCTTTTTGATTTCTTTTGAAGACAGGCAGAAGACGTGTCGGTTGGTCAGGAGAGGTCTTCTTTGGTCAAAACAGGTCACCTTTGGTCAGAAGAGGCCTTCTGTGGTCAAAAGATAAATTCTGTGGTCAGAGGAGATCTTCTGTATTCAGAAGAAGTATTCTTAGGTCAGAAGAGGTATTTTTGGTCAAAAAGTTCTTCTGTGTCTGAAGGGGTCTACTGTGGTAAAAAAAGATGTCTTCTGTAGTCAGAAGAGGCCTTCTGTAAACCAAAGAGGTCTTAAGTATGCAGAAGACGTCTTCAGTAGACAGCAGAGGTCTTCTGTAGACAGCAGAAATCTTCTGTAGACAGAAGAGATCTTCTGTAGACAGAAGAAGTCTTCTGTGGTTAAAAGAGGTCTTCTGTGGTCAAAAGAGGTCTCCTGTGGTCAGAAATGGTCTTCTGTGGTCAGAAGAGGTCTTCTGTGTTCAGAAATAATCTTCTGTGGTCAGAAGAGATCGAATGTGGCCAGAAGACGTCTTCTGTGGTCAGGAGAGGTATTCTGTGGTCTGAAGAGGTATTCTGTAGAGATCTTCTTTAGTTAGAAGAAGTCTTCTGTGTTCAGAAAATATCTTCTCTAGTCAGAAGATGTGATCTTCTGACCACGGAAGACCTCTTCTGTAGTAAGAGGTCTTTGTAGACAGAAGACTTTTCAGAAATCTTAAATAGACAGGCCACTATTCAAAGAACCTATCGGTTCTTTTGTAGACGGAATACCATTTAGAGGGCTTCTGTTAACGGAAGGCATTCCAGATACATTCTATCTACAAAAGAGTTAATTCAGAGACCTTTCGTAAAGGTCTCCTGAGTAAGTTTGTACACAGAACTTCTATTAGAGATCTTATAGGGGATGAAAATGTATTTGTTGAGGGAGATTTTCGGATGAAGTAGGTAGACCATGCAATGTTTTTCAATAGAGATAAATGCTTTTTGAGTTATTCTATGTACAGTAGTTCTTTTAATGGAATTCTGTGGTCAAAAGAAACCAGAATCCCTTCCAATGTATGTTATAAATTAATGAGTCGTTTTAGGTCTTCTATAAATCAGACTCTAAAATAGAGGTCTTCTATTATCCTAAGTATTGAACATTACCTAATTTTCCTGTACTTTTCTCCCTACAGTTACATGAACGTCGCGCCGATATGGCCATTGGCGGCCTGGGAGCCCTTATGCCGAACAGTACCAAATTCAGTATATCCTATACTCATCACACATCACCATATGTATTTGTGGTGCGCGGAGGACGTCCATTTGGACCGATAACACAATTACTAAATCCTTTGCAACACAATGTTTGGCAGGCTATCGTAGCACAACTGCTGATACTTATCGCCCTAATCAATTGGATAGAAAGACGTGGCAAACGTACCGTTCGCAATTTCATATTGGGAGCACATAATAAATATTCGATACATCATTTATTTGTAACACTACTGGGTAGTCCCCTGCCAAGTTATGCAGTGCCGAGGAGGAACTTTGCACGTTTTTTATTTATTGCCTGGCTTCTATGGACACTGGAACTGCGTAATTTTTATCAGGGTAAAATGTTTGATAGCCTGCGACTGGCAAAATATCAACCCACACCGAAAACCATAAGGGAACTTATTGAGAGGGACTACACCCTGCTATCGCCACATTATGCTGATTTTTATCCACGTAACAAAACCGTAATTATATCCCAAGATGAGGAACGTTTAACAAATTTGAATAATATGGAGGATATGCCATTCGCCACTCCGGCCATATTGGATTTTATGGCCTATTATAATATGATTAATTTCAAGTCATCGACTCTGACCTATGTCGATGAGATTATCTATTTATTTCATTCGGCTTTGTTCTTTCCCAAACATTCGATATTAGTGCCGAGTTTTAATCGAAGATTTAAGTTACTCTCGGATTCTGGTATTACTTCGTATGTGGCTCGCCAATATATTCATCCATATTTTCACAATACCCAAGATCATATCAATACTGGAGATGCCCAACAAATAACATATAAAAATTTAATTGGCTTGATTTATATCTATATTGCAATGAATGGATTGTCGCTGTTGATATTTCTCATGGAATTGGGTACGAAGAGATTTGCAGTATTGAAACGTATAATAGAAGGATTGAATTGAAGGTGAAGTTTTTATAAAAATATGCGTTGTAAAAATAAACATAAATAAAGACATTATTAATTACACAGTGAGACAAATCGAGGACACCAAGGGCTGGGGTGGGGGAGGCGAAAATTCGCATTATGTAGAACTGTCGAATTCTTTTATTATTTTCTGAAAACATATATAGTTATACCAAATAGTCAAAAATAAATAAATAAAAAAAATAAATTTCGAGTAAGGAAAATCCGATTTTATTTATATAATAAAACCGGTTTCAATACCTCGTATCATTAGAAATCTAATAAACAAACGTTTAATGAACCGTATTTTTATCGGATTTACTACTTAATATCCGGCTCAAAATATTGTTTTTTTTATTTTTATACCCTTCGCCACACTGTGGTACAGCGTATTATGTATTTGTGCATATGTTTGTAACAGGCAAAAGGAAACGAGATAGACACATGGTTACTTTTGAGAATATGCATAGAATCACTTTCTAAGTCGATATATGCATGTCCGTCCGTCCATCTGTCCGTCTGTCCATGTTAAATTGTAAACAAAGTACAGGTCGCATTTATGATCCGAATTGGATGAAATTTGCCATAGGTCATTTATTCGGCCCAAGGACGAACCCTATTGAAATTGGGAAAAATCGTTTCAGATTTATATATCGTTCGATTTGCACGAAATTTTGCATGGGGCAATGATTTAGGCCTAGAATGATGATATCTCTCAAATGCCCGCCTCTGGCGTTGATGACGTATTGTGCCCTTTTTGCTGCATTTTCCATCGTTGTTGCCAACATTTCGGCCGGAATAGCGGCTATTTCTTCAAGAATGTTGTCCTTGAGCTCTTCTATGGTTCTTGGCTTGTTAACGTAAACCTTTGACTTCAAATATCCCCACAAGAAGAAGTCAGGCGGCGTCAAATCGGGCGAACGCGGTAGCCAGTCCAAATCACCACTTTTCAACATCAAACGGCCCGTAAACAAATTCTTCAGAAAATCGATTGTTATGCGACTTGTGTGCGGTGGAGCGCCATCTTGTTGAAACCAGAACTGCCTCATACACTTTCGACGAATAATTGGCATCACAAAATTGGTCATCATGTCGCGATAACGCTTCTGATTGATGGTAACAGCATGGCCATTTTCTTTTTGGAAGAAAAACGGCCCAATGACCGTTTTCGCACTTTTTCGTCATGAAGAGGCACTTCTTGAATCTCCTGAGGATTTTCAATGGCGTAAAAACGGCAATTTTGCTTATTTACGGTCCCACTCAATGTGAAATGGGCTTCATCGGACATGATAATTTTGTTCCAAAATTGCTCGTCATCTTCGGCCATTTCGATGACTTTTTGGGCCCATTCCAATCGACGAGGCTTGTCCGCAGGCAACATTCTTTGCGTCATTCTTTGAATTTTGTACGGGAACAAATGCAAATCAATGCAAATAATCCGTTGTAAAGTGGACTGAGCCATGCCCATCTGCTGAGAAAGTCGTTTTTGGGATGTTCTTGGGGACCTCTCAACACTGGCTAGTACGGCAGCGATATTCTCGGCCGAACGCCTTGGTTGACTTTTATATGACCTCTTCGGATTAGAAAGAGCCTTACAAGTCGAAATTTTTTCGTATAAACGCTTAATGGTGTTCTTAGAAGGCGCACTTCTCACATTTTTTAATGGTAAAAATCTGCTTGGACTGACACTTCAAACGCGGTATGTCATTAAGCGATGTGACATCTCTGTCAAAAGTTATGGCGTTGCCAGATGGGTCCGTCGAATATGGGCAACTCTGTATATCTTTCTATTTGCACGAAATTTGGCATAGCGTACTGAATAAAGTCTAGAATGATGTTTGTTATGTTTTGTGAAATCAGTTCAGCTATAGATATAGCTCCCATATATTTTTTCTATGGATTTAATCTAGCTCCTATATATATTTTCTTCCGATTTTTGTAAATTGTGCACTAAAGTCCCAAAGTTTGTCCAATTGCCACACAATTGTGTACAATGAACTGTAGTCAATATAAATTAATCTCTGACAAGTCTCTTTGAAATCGGTTCAGATTTTAGTATAACCTAGAAGATAGATATAAATTCTACACCAGACACCCCCGGTGGGTACGATTGGCACAAAATTTTGCACAACGAACTGAAGAGATGTAATACATAACGTGTGGCATGTTTTGTTGAAATCGGTTCAGATTTAGATATAGCTCCTAGATATAGTTTCATCCCATTTTTAGTAAAAGGTGCACCAAAGGTTAGCTGTTTGCTACAAAATTTTGCACAACGTACTGAAATTTATATTGCCTTACGTTTGCAAAATTTTGCCCAACGTTAGGCCGATTGGCATAACATCTTGCACAACATACTGAAGTTAATATAACTCAGCATGTGTTAAGTTTGGTTGAAATCGATTCAAATTTGGATAGAGCTACCATATATATTTTCTCCCGATTTTATGTAAATGATGCACCAAGAACTCGAAATGTGGTCATATCCACAAAACATACTGAAATTTGTATAACCTAACCTGTGACAAGTTTATATTTCGATATAGCTTTTATATATATTTTCGTTAATCAAGCTTTCGTCGATATTTTTCGTTTTTAATAATAACCTTTGTGCGCAATTTCATCATCAGGAGATTGTGGTCTGATAGAACGTTAGCACCTAGGTATGTTGAAGATTTTGTATCGGATGATTCATAACTCGATTCAATAAAAATGCAATCTATTTGATTCTGTACAATATTTCCTTTTCTGCCTTGGGGAGATTTCAAAACATGGGGGGAGAGTCAAAACATGGTATAATGTTCATATTGTGTTATTGACAGAACTAGATTAACCTATTTCCTCTTACGTTTCTTTCCTGCTATTCCAGGAACTTTTTCGCTTCCAATTTTAGCGTAAAAATCGCCCTGAACTATTGTTATTTCCTGAGGCTTTGTTATTTTTAGCAGATCTTTAATTTCATTTCAGATTAAATTCGCTATTGCTTTTATCGGCAGTGGGTGCATATATTTGGATGATGTGGTTCTGATGAGTTTTGAGAATTAATTTCACCGCTTTCAGGCCACCATGTCTCACCGAGAATATATATTTTTAATCTATTCGTTACCGAAATAGTGTTAACCAATTTACCGGCTTCGTAGAGCCTTCGTAAATTCCATGTACCAATATCAGTGTTGCCAGTTTAGGGGATTTATGCCCAAATTGGGGATTTTTATTGGAAATGGGGATGAAATTTTTGGTTTGGGGATCTGAGGATTTTTCTGGGGATGCAATCATTGAACTTAGGATATAAGTTTGAGGATTAATTTGTATTGCTAAAAATACGAGGTTTTTCAAACAATGCTGCAATTCGGTTGATAATCCGGCAAACTAGTTTCATTTTAAAAATCTCAAAGAAAATAGAGGGAACTATTTGAAGATTATGTTTCAAGCAGTTTATGTTCTTTTTGAAAAAAAAAGATCTCAGGGTGCAGCAGAGTTAAAAGACATTGCAAGACTATCATCAAATATGCTTCTCGTCAATTGGTGAAACATTTCAATCAAAAACGTGAAAAAAATTACGTATGATTTGAATTCTTTTATTTTTAAAAATTTTGTTGTTCATTTTATTTTTTGTTTGTATTTTTTATTATAGGAATACTTCTAAAAATATAAATATTAATTAAAACATTACAATAAAAAAAAACTACTGAATACAATTGGCCTTTTTCCCTACTGCAAAAATCTTCTAATATTACTACACTTTTGATATCATAAAGGAAAAATTGAAATGTTATCGAAAATACAACAACCACAAGGAAACGATAACACAAACGCATATCGTTTCCCTGTGGTTGATGTATTTTCGATAAAATATAACGACGGGTGGCTCAACGCGAGCATTCTGCTTAGCCCTTAAGTGACTGACTGATCATCAAAGCTCAAACGAATCGGCTAAAGCTAGAAACTTGAAATTTGGCATGTAGGTCGGGTTTGGTGAGTAGGCGTGTGATGAGGCGGGGTTTTTGGAAATTCGTACTAAATGGTACTAAAAAGTACTAAAAACTGTATTGCGCTGAATCGGTTATATGTAGAAATCTGAAATTTGCTACGTAGTTTTGTCTATGACAAGCGAAGTGGAATGTGTAAAATTTTAAATTTCGTACTAAAAGGTACTAAAAAGTACTAAACATTATATTTCAATGGAACCGGTGGAGATAGATATCTGAAACATGGTATGCAGCTTAAGCTATTACAAATAGAATGCTGTGCAAAAATATTTTTTGGAAATTAGTACTAAAAGGTACTAAAAAGTACTAAAACTGTATTACTGCGGAACGGTTGAAAGTAGAACTCCGAAATTTGGCATGCAGCCTTGTCAATGATAAGCAAATCATAATTTGTGAAGAAGTTATGGAAATAAGTACTAAAGGTACTAAAATGTACTAAATATTATACTACGATGGAACAGGTAGGGATAGATATCTGAAATTTGGTATGTAGCTTAAGCTATTACAAGTAGAATGATGGGCAAAAATATTTTTTGGAAATTAGTACAAATATGGTACTAAATAGTACTTAAAACTGTATTACGCCGGAACGATTGGAACTACAACTCTGAAATTTTGTATGCAGCTTTGTCATTGATAAACAAATTTTCCATTTAGCACACATTATTTCCATAAGTACCCTGTTCAGCCATCCAACAAAACTTCATACATACCCCGATCCTACACCCCCGCAATGATTCCAAATTCAAATATCAGGATTCCCACTCTAGTGGTTCATCCACAATTTAAATTGTACAAAATTTAGTACACAGTAGTACGAATATCCAAAACTAAATACCCCAATCCTACACACCGACAATGATTCTAAACCCTAGTTTCTGGATTCCAAGACAATCGGTTCACCCACAATTCAAATTGTACAAAATGTAGTACACAGTAGTACCAATTTCCAAAACATCGTACATACCCCAATCCTACACCTCCACAGTGATCCTAAATCCAAGTTATA